TGGGATGATGACGATGATAGGTGTCATGGTGCCGGTGATGCCCGTGGTGATGATGATGATGATGACGACGATAAGCATAAGGATGACGATGACAATAACAATAATGATATCCGCCACCATGAATTTGTTGCTGCATCCTGTTGTTGTGATTATGTTCTATGTGGCATGGAATCGCAAGAATTTAAAAAACAGACACACACACTGCTTTTACGACGTTTTTGCAAAGACAAAGAACAACAACTTTAAAAATCAACCCAAAAGTCAACCAATTCAAACAATGAAAATCACGGTTTTGCGACAAAACCGCCTCCAAAAAAAAATAACAAACCACCAGGAAAATCCAAACAGCAAAAAACATGTCCAATTCACGAATACCACACAAAAATCTACTACTACTACTACTACTGCTACTACTACTATTACTACTACTAGTACTACTTCTACTACTACTAGTACTACTACTACTACTACTACTACTACTACTACTACTACTTACTGCTTACTAGCTACTAACTACTGAACTACTTGCTACTTACTACAAACTACCACTACCCCCACCACCACCATCACCACCAATACTACCACTACCACGATATACCACTATCACTACCGCCACTGTCACCGCTACCGCCACCCCCCCTGCGACCGCTACTGTGACTGTGACTGCTACAACGATGACGACTGCAGCCGCTGCTACTACTACGACGACGGCTACTATCTACTACTTCTAGTTACTTCGGCGGCTACAGTAATACTGGTAGCAGCAGTACGTGCAGGAAGATTTTGAGTATTTGCAATGCTGCTGTCTTGTGCTCGTGCACGCGTGAGGTGCACCACAATCCTTGCAATGGTTGCAAATGGGCTCAGAGGAGCAGCAGAGAGGAGATCTCCAGCCGCTTAAAGCCATGGATCTTCCTACTAAGAATCATCCCTATGTGCTGATGCATGCTTACGTTGCTCCCACCCTCCAAATGCACCTCCGAGAATTAGTGATGCGCAAAGAAGCGGCGCTAAGAAGCGGCTCAGCTTGTCAGGGACCTCACCTGCAAGTGTGTTACAGAGGGGTTTGGTGACTTCAACCTTTATGGGCTTGTGGAGTTCGGGACTTGAGGCTGAAGGATATACGGCTCTACGAATCCCCCTGAAGGTCTTCTGGTGCGAGTATTGGATTTACAAACTATGCCGCCGAGCAAGATGAAGCAACTGAGGTTACGGATTCGATCTGACAAAAGCCGTGAGCTCTTGCGGCAGAATGGGAAGCGGGGAGGTCTTAGAGACCAGGATTGACTGTCTGCTACCACAAGTGTGCGCAGAAAATTGAAGGCAAAAACGTTTGAGTGTACATACATCATGCATGCATACATACATACATACATACAATACATACACGCATGCATACATACATACATACATGCATACATCCACACCTACATAACTCCAGACGTGCAGACAGACAGACAGGGAGCCAGACAGGCAGACGTGCGTGCATGTAGGAATGCGTGTATATCTATCCATCTATCTATCTATCTATTTATCTATCTATCGATTTATTTATCTGTGTATATATGGATATATACATACGTAGTCATATACGTATATAATGTGGACACAATATGGCATTCAACCATCGGTTTATCATCGTTTCTGTTTGCTCCTTTGCGTCTCTGCTTGTTTGTTTACTTATCTATTTGCTGCCTTACGTACTCGCATAGTGTCTTATTTACAGAACGTGTCGAAATGAATGCGTCGAAATAGGGGCAGGACGTGTGCTTACTTACAAGTGCTTGCTTGTTTTCTGCCACAGTCCCTGGCGTACGACAAAACCAGATGACATACCTACTAGCTTCAGCCCATAATAAGCCATTAGGCGTGTGCTTTCCCACCTAAATACTTTGTTATCTTTCTGTACTTCCTCGCCAGCTTGCTTGGCTCCTCATGTTGTCTGTATGTGCACTGCTCTGCCTGCCTACCACCTGGTACCCACCTTCTCGCCCGCCCGCCCACTTGCCCGCCTGTCTACTTGCTCGTTGACATGCTGCAGTTACAACATATCTATATCTCTATATATATATATAATTTTCTAGTTATATATATAATTACAGTTCAGAGACATATACATGTGCTCGTGACGAGCTGCTCGTGACAAGTGTGCAATTCCTGTGACCTTCAGCCCGAGACGCATCTCCCAAAGTCCGATCCCCTGTCTGGGTTCTGGGACAAACCGGCGTGGCTCCAGGATAAGACATCTGTCTTTGCCTCTACACTTCGAGAAGCAAGCGAAGCAGAAGTTCAATCTAATCCCAACCCTGGAGGCCTCGGGACCTTGTAGGGGTAGGACGTGCCCTGGACGGCATCGGAACCTGGGCTTCGCGACTTCACTAGAGAAGTGGAGAGCTTGAGATGATTTAAACCCCCCTTGGCACTCGGTCTTAGGCACCAGGTGAGCGAACTTCTACGTAGAAAGTTGCGCATTGGCTGGCAAGGCACAACCACGACATGCTCGACGACGGCTGCCACCGTTGCTCATATGCTATCGGGATGTTTTGCGAAGCGACGAGCCAATCGAAATGCACTTACAGGATTGAGGGCCCACAACTCTGCACATACCTTCGACGCACCCCCATCCTGCCGTGCAGGCCTCGAATTTCCTTTGCTATACAAACTTCAACGCTCTACTGTAAAGTTCAAGTTTACGCCCCGGCCACAGGTGTGGTCGTGACTCGGGGGACACCCAAGGCTGAGGGTCTCATGGATTGTGAAGTCGAAGACCTGCTGCCAGGCTCCCCTGCTGTAGTAGTTTGCGGGCACCGTGCGCTGGCTACGCTGGCTCGATTCGCTCGTCGAAAAGGACCTGTGCAGAATAGAAGAACATGAAAGCCTGTTCTCATTGACATGCAAGTCAAAGTCTGGTGGGCTTGCATGGTGTTCACTGGAGCAATGGATGGCATGGTAACAACTGGACTTGGTACGACGAATCTGTGAGTCAGCACGGAAGCAAGGCTCTGCCAGCATGCTTGTGCACCATCGAAGGCTTTTTTGTCCAGGCTGGGGATGGGACGACATGGACGCGGCACCACGAAGCCAAGGATGCAAGACCGCCTGGCGGGCACACTTTTTGGCTCGACAAGTGTGCAACCGTCCAGGCGCTTTGCACTTGATCGCCGGTGGGCAGTTTCTATGCTTCGTAGATGGTCTGAAGTCTCATTATAACATGATGTATCTTCCTCAAAGCGATGCCACCCGCGGAATTCTTTCACACGCTGTACCAAGCACTTTGCAAGACAGGGTTTTCCGATCTTGATAACCTCGCCATAAGACACCGAAAGCCTTGAATACTCCATCGAATTGCTACATTCAAGTCCAGGGATGCACCTGCTCAGCGGTGAGCCGATCACCCGGTCGCGCTTGCAGCAGTCGAAGGATGAAATCCTGCAGGATTGGGATGCGTGGTCTACGGAACTGGAGCCCGAAGCCCCAAACCTCAGAGGGAGGTTCGCTTCCGAGGAGTGGGTGCGCTACTTGCAAGCTGGAAGAGTTTGTTTGGTTTATATGTGCTTTAGAGTGGTTGATGCTTCGTTCATTCTGCTTAGCTGCTAGCGTGCAGATTTGCCAAAGCAGAGTCGAAAGCATCAATGTCAACTTTTGGCTACGTGATCTACATAGCAGGACTTGCGTTTGCAAGGGCCACATCCGCAACCCTCTGGCTGCTGTCCATGCACCCTTGGAAGGCCTCCCTCAAGAAGTCTGGCAGCAAATGCCCGGCCGCGAAGTCTGCTGCCGTCCACCCCCGTGAATTACGCAAGTCTAGACGTGCTCCAGAGGCGATCAGAGCAGCAGCGCCTTCGTATTGTGCTGACATGATAGCTGCCATCAGCGGTGTCTGACCGCCTGTATGATAACAAAATCTACTGAGCGACGTTTCCTTGCCATACTTGTGCTGAAGAGCCTTTGCTGTCAGAAGGACTCGCGCCGGGATCGTCGTAGCAACTTTTGCTGCCGCACCGTCTACCGGTGCTCTCAAATCAAGCAGCCTCTGAATAAGCTCTGCGCGACCTCCCTTAAACGCCGCGGCCATGCACAGGGCTTTGGAAAGGTCCGCATGTGTAAGATCTTCACCAGCCTGGGTGACCAGCTCTTCCAATGCTGCCAGTGCTCCGATACTGCTGGCGGTGTCAAAAGCATTCATTCCCAGAAAATTCCGCCGAAAAAGTTCGCACCCGGCTTTGCAAAGGATGCGTATACCCGCTGGATCATCCGAGAGGCATTGCACGGGCATGTCAGGATGGAGCCCGGAATCCACCCTCGCATTCGCAGAGATTAGCAAGCGCATGACGGGGTAGTGTTTGAAGAATCCGCAGATCTGAAGTGGGGTCATTCCTAGGAGCATGCCTGACTGTGGCTGATCTTTCTTCGTCCAACGATCTATGTTGGCACGCATCTCCAGCAAGCCATGCATGACATCTGGGTCACCACGCATTGCGGCGTAATGCACTGGAGCCCATCCAGAGCCATCCACCTCGTGGATGCTTCTGAAACCATTCTGGTAAAGGAAATGCTGCACGGATCGGGCTGAGGAGCCTCCGAGCTCCAAGTGGCTGCCGTGATCCTCGGGGCCTGGACCGGGAAGCAGCAAGTCATACCTGGCTTCCAGGGGAAAGCCTCGTAGATGAATGCGTTGCATGTTCATGAGAACGCGATATCCCACCAAATCTTGGGCTTTCAGTAGAAGCATTAACTTGCGTCTTAGGGCGCCCTGCAGGACTGACCCGAGTTTGACGCGATCCTCGGCCACCGTGAACTGGCCTTCACCAGCAGCTCTACCCAATCCCAGCAACACAGATGAGACCAGTTCCATTTCTGTGCTGCTCTTGATCATGATCCAAGACTGATCTGGCGAAAGCTCTCGGAAAGCTCTCTCTACACGGCACCATCCTCGCTCACTCCAGGAAAACGGGGAAAATACCCGGTCCGTCCGCAAACTTTCAACGACCGGGCAAAGAGCAAAGAAAAACTTGCACCTTGCAATGTATGTCGGGATGCTGTCAATAGCTTTGGACAAGGGGCTGCTCGGTCCTGCAGCCGGCATTGTGGGCGAAATTAGCTGCTCCAGCTGTGGGCAAGAGAAGTAATCGTACCACAGGTAGAGGTGAGCCTGTCGGAACTGCGCTGTGTCGAACGCCTTCCTTCTCGGGAGGTACACCTCTGTCATCACGTCCGTAGGCAAATGGTGCGATTGAAACAACATTCGGCGTAAAGCTCCTTGCAACACCAGGAATTGCATAAAGTCGGGATCTGGGTGTTGATTGCTTACCCACTGATGAGAGATGAACGCAGCATCGCCCATGCCCAGGTGAAACTCGACCACCATGCCTTTGTCTTTCAGATCTTCATGCGGCATGACCTGTGTCATCTGAAGCACCGTGTCGACTGAGACGGTGTACATCGGGAAAAGCATCGGTGCTGCATCGATTTCTGAAGGATCTGTCCCTCCTTGTTCACTCCGATCTTCCAAAGAAGCGGCAAACTCTTCGAGGGCAGTCTTGGCTCTGCAGCATCTGAAAACCATGGCTCGCTCGCGGCAAGAGGGCTGAGCGTTTAGGGGTGTTTCTCCGGAAATTTAACAGCCAGTCGCACAGTGACGGAAGGAGCCGAATCCAAGATAAAACAAGGGGACCTGAACGAGATTCTGCGTGGCATGGGCCAGTGACCAAACGGCCATGCTGCATTCTCGCCACTTCCGGCACACCAGGGGGCAACCAACCTACAGCCAATGTGCTACGGCCTACGTTCTTTGCAGTAGCTCTTGGATTCATGCCCACGGAGCCATGCCTTAGCAGTGTTGCTCCAGCCGTAGGATCAGCATCCGTTTCAAGACATGCAGCGCAGGCCTGCGCACCAGCAGATACTGCTCTCCAGCGATCGTCGGCAAAGCTGACATCCCTTTCAACGATCTGCCGGTACCTGGACACACTGAGGGCATTTCAGCTTGTGGCTGGGCAGCTCAACATCTACACTGGATGGTCTGCAAGTGAGATGGCACGGCACTGGCTCTTTAACAAAATCGAAATTTTCTGCAGTGCTAAGCATTGAACACATTTGCAAACATGCAGAATCAATCATGCAATGGATCATGGCTATCTTCTTCGGTTTCCTTCATGAGCAAGTTGCTGCGCTGCCTCTGTCAGCGCAGCTCAGCAGGGCAATCACCGCATCACCATTGACATTGACGGGGAGCGGGCTTCAACACGATCACATATCTGACTCTGATTCAGGACCCGCAACCCTGAACTTTCACCACGAATGATATACTGAAACCAGGACCTGATCCTCCCGATTGCGCATGCAGAACTGGCTGTTTCGCTTCTGAGTGCGCGGCAACTTATGAAGCACTGGGTTGAAGAAGGGCAGTGCGCCACTGAGGACCACGAAAGTGATCACCTCGTGCCAAAACCAGGAAGGCCCGCAACTTGTTCTGGCAGCTTTTACACCATCCGGCAAAAGCCTTTAGCTGGGCCCGATGCCCCCACCGCCCAGATGTCTATTTCGCGGCCATACTCCTTGAGACATCTACACATTGAGCATGAGTGAAAGAATTTCAAACTGCACGAAAGGACTTGACTCAGCATTCAAGCAATGAAAAGCTTTTGTAGTGGACATGAACCATCTGCGATCCGACAACCGGCTTGCGGATCAAGCTATCCGAGCCAAAGCCTTACCAAGCTAATATATGATATACCCCCTTCCCAATCTTACACCCTGTATCCATATCAGGTTACTGCTCCCGAGATAAATCCTCCTGCTTGATGACCTCAGGTGCAAGGTAGAAATCAGAGCCACAGATTGAAGTAGACCTCAGAAGCACAGTCTCTGCTGGCTCTGCTGGGGTCTTTTGCTCACCCGCAGCAATGCGATTCGGCCATCTTCTCAAGATTTCGAGCCCCGACTCTTAGCAATCTTGCCACCGAGGCCGCGGCCGAGGGAGCCTGCGCGGAAAATCCCGTGAAAGCCTCAGAGCAAGAAGAACTCGGGCTGAAGCATGGATGCAGCTAGTGAGACTCATTTGTACGCCTCGTGTGCAGGTGCAGGTTTTGAAACGGCAGTTCAGTTGGCATACGATCTCCGGATAGTAGCGCGCGCTTCAAGGCTTCAAGTGTAAGCCACGGATACCATGCTTTTGCCCTGGGACAAAATGCAGTGCCGAACCTTCTTCCAACATGCATGCTGACACTCTCTCCGCTTCGAAAACCTGACACTCGCAAGCCGTCACAGCGTTGACAACAGCATCCAGCGCTTGCGATGATTTTGCGTTACCTTCTCATCCCATGCTGTATCTGGCCAGGCCTTTGCATTTCTTGCAACACACCGAAAGCAGATCGAGCTGTCTTCTACTCAACACCAGTCATGGCCACCCGCTCAAACTAGCTGAACTTCTTGTGGAAAACCGAACTTCAGTCACAAAGTGCCTGCTGCCCATGAAGAGTGACAAGAAACCGCGGAGCGTGTCGTGACCCTGCCGTGCTATGGAGACTCTCATATTAATATGGATTCGAAACCCAGCAGGCAGTGAGGAGGTCTCTCTCTCTCTCTCTCTCGCTCTCGCTCTCTGAATTCTCACATCCACAAAGCCAGGAGCCGCACTTCGCGAGTCCGAAATCCGAGACTTTGATGTCTGTGTTGCTGACCTCCACCAGGAATAGACGGGGGCTCGAACACAGCATTCCCGGTAGCTGGTGAGCCCGGCCTTGCTGACCAGGAGGATGTTCTCCTCGGTACTGACGACGGCTCTGACTTGGGGCAAAAACTTTCGGATTGTGGGCTCGCCAACCTCAGCTCCTGCATGCCGCGACCTCCCTATAGGCTATGTGGTCGCAGTTTCGTCTTTCCCTTGCTCATTAACCGAAAGTGCGACAACACTCTACAGTCTACAGTACCTGTTGTGAACGCGGCTCATGGTCTCTGCGAGGCAGAGAGACTCTGCAAGAATCGCAGTGACATGCCCTTGTTGCACTTCTCGTCACTTGTTGAGGGCTTGCTGGTCTGGAAGTTTGGCTTTCTTCGTCCAACAGCTTTGCCTTCAGCCAAACTTGACTTCTTGGCACCCTGCAGGCTTTAGATCCCGGTGCATGATGCCCTTGCTGTGGATAAACTCCACTGCCTGCGTCACATAGCTGATCATAACTGGATGTGAAGCTTCTGTGCCTGAGATCCAAAGTTGGCGCCCTCCGAAGAACGGACGGTTAGGTTCAAAACCCGGAGCTACCAAACATCCGTGAGATACTCTTGTTGAAGTGGAACGGCTTCGAAGCTGCAGCTCTCAATCCGCTAGCCGTGGTCTTGAAATACGCGACTTCAGCGAACCCGTAAAAAAAAAAAAAAAACCAAGACCATGCTATGTAAACCGCACCAAAGCCGACGTGCCCATGCCTCTAAGAGATTCTTCACCAGCAGTTTGGTATCCGCTTCCTGCCAGATGGCTCATTGTCCCGTAGAAGAAGCTTTACTTTAGAGCGGCTAAAGGGCTTATCCTGTTGGATTCAGTGCCTCAGACCACCATTTTCAATCGAAAGAAGACAAGCAGAATCTACCCAGCGCCAAAAGCAACTAGGACTGGCAGGCCGAGTAGAAGCGCTTCTGCTGAATGCGATCGTACCTCGACGAGCGGATATCAACTTTGATTGTGGCGCTTCACGTCAGATACCCAACCTTGTGATAAGCTTCGGACATTACCAGAACCCGACAGCACGCGGCCGTCGTGAGCATTAGTGCATGCTGGGCACAAGCCAACAAGACTCGGACATGCACTTCTGCAGCTGGCGCTGGTAAGCCAAACATGCATTATTGGCTCCGAGTGATCTGCTTTCAGCAACTGCCCAGAGAAGGAAGCATTGCGCTCCTAAGCGCTCGTTTTGGCCAAGCGGCAACTCGCCACCTTCGCAAAGCTCCAAGACCTGGGTTGCTCGAGCGTGGTCGTATGCCCTCGGGAGCTACATCTTCCAGGCTTGTCACTGATTCGAGTTTGGGGGCTGAGATGTGCACAGAGGCTGTTCGAATCAAAACTACCGCGATTCGAAGTGCAACAGCTACATGACTTGAGGCAATTGGCAAAACTAAACTGCAAGCCACACCGCGGTTGATACAAATCCTGAGGTGGCTGGGCAACTGCAGGTGGCCTGCCAGGTTTGGGGAAGATGAAACAAAAATTCGACAGAAGATTGAAGTTCTACAGGATTCTAGTAGGCTGTATGAATGGTCCCGTACTCATGTGCACAGGACTGCTTTCAAACAAGGCATGCAAAGGCAGAAAATCCCAAAGGCTTGGCTCCGTGCCAATCGGATGGTGTTGGGGGTGGACTCGTCCATGTCGATAAGTCGGATGATGCTCGAGTGCTGGTTGATGGCCTTTGTTGACTTAGGTACAGATCGATAAAGGCAAGGGGTTTCACACAAGACCACATGCAGAAGTAGGGAGGCTTGGCACAGCCGGCTTGTCCTCAAACAAGCTTCCGCACCATGAATATGCCGCAACACTGAACGCTGCCTCAAACCTGAATTGTGGTTGGATGACGAAAGAGCTCTGCATGTCTTGGAGTTTTCAGTTCGGAGCTGAGCAGTCAGGAGCCAGCAATCCCCCACTGCCAGCTTAGGCCTTCATGATGGCAATCTCCTCCACGATGCGGCTATATGAGGCCTTCAGGAGAAGGGTTGTAGGGAGCCCTTCTGCTTTCCGAACCTCGTGCTTCGGTTGCTAGACTTCTTTGTCTGCCGTCGGGCTTTCGGGCAGCCCCGGCATGTTCCGACTTTGAGGGTTTAGGGCTTCGGAAATTAAACAGCTGAGTTTCGTGGGTACAAGCGAGGCCTAAGACCTATGTCCTCAAGCGGGACGGCGATGCCTTGTCACCGGTGTAAGTTGAAATCGCCTGCACCATGCGAGTGGTTGATTTTGAGACTTGGCAGACTTGCACAGTCTAACTTGTAATCACTGCAGCATTAAAACAAGTCATAAACTACCGTGGATCACAAGCCAAGTATACGGCTGTTCACTTTGTGCCTAGTGCGACTATGACGGGTGTAAACATCCACCATTGCCAGCAAAGGTTTTGGGGATTGCATCGCCTACCGATACTGCTTTCCCAGCACCTCATGACCTAGAGGCCTAGTGTGCCCTGGACCCTGCTGCCCACAAACCCTACGCCCCTCACATACTTTGGGTCAGACAGCCTTCAGAGCATAGCGCTGGTCAGGATTTTCTCGATACGTGCACATGTACACGGTCGAGAACTTCCCCGTCCCGAGGACATTGTCCTGTAGGGCTTTTGGCTTGGGGGTGGGCGCAGGGGCCACCAGGCTTTGAGGTTCAGACCTTAGGTTGGTGAGTGTTGGGCAGTTGTTGGATGCCAACGCCATGAGATCTAGCATTTAGGACTTTGACGCCCCAGCCTAAGCTCAAGGTAGGTTTTTTGGTTTGGTCAGGTTCGAGCTTCGTGTTCATGTCATGGACACCGAAAAGAACAAAAGACTTCGAGAACAAATTGGCTTTGCGCCTTTCTCGGATCAAGGCCTTGACTCTCTGCTAACTTCGAAATCGGAGATTGTGGGTGCTTGAATAGTCTGTCCGTCCTGTGCTCTGCTAGCTACCCTTTTCGGCACTCTCACTTCGGCAGTGATAGGAAACGCCGGGAGGCTGCAAATTGGTCGCACCAACCCTCACAGAAGCTTTGCGGCACCACGCGGCTATACGCGGCTCCTCATCGACATCGAAGCGTGAATCGAAGCTGAGGCTTTGCGGAGCCAGCCGAAGCCAATCGACATCCGTCCTCGCGAAAGGTGCCGCTTGGAGATACGAACGACACACAGGGCCGTACATGTGCCAAGGACTACAGATCTCCAAAGCATGAAACTGCCGGACCCAATGCGACAAGCTTGCATATGCTTGCATACATGTGCTACGGCCTACGGCGTCGTGACTGACTGCTTGCTTGGTGGGTTCCAGCTTTGTTCCTGCGTTCAGCACCTCGTGTCAGGGTAGCACAGGGAACCCGGGTCAACGAAAACTCCATGCGAGCTAATTGTCCGATAGCACTGGTGTTCTGAACCTTGAAAGGCATAAACGCAAAACTTGACTGCGAACTAGCGGCTGCACCGGGCAAAGGAAGCTGTTGCCCATGGCTTCGCCCTGGATCCTAAGATCCTAGTGAACGGTTGCTACACGGCCTCGCCTCGTCGAAGAGCCCTTGAAACTACGAGCAATCTTGATTACAAGCGGCGAAGCTGTGACCCTCGCTCCAGATCCCATAGGACCCGATCCACAGAATGCTGCGATGTAGCTGATGGTTACAGCTGCGATGTGGGCCGACGATTCTGGGCTGGTGGTCACTGCTGGTATCTGGTATCACTATAGCTGCTGCTCTGTGGCTTTCTGGTGTCTTCAGCAGATGTGGCCCCTCCATCGTCAACATAGCTTGAGCAGATACACAGAGATGCCTTTCCTTTGCTCATCAGGCCCTGAACCTTGGCGCACTGCCTGAACAGTAGTAGTCGTCGTGGTCGTCGTAGCACAGAAGCAGCAACCGAGTGGCGATTGGGGTGATGGCGGAAGTGGTGTTGCTCTGACGGGAAATGTGGCAGTAGCAGACGCAACGAGCTGCGTGGCGGTGCCAATAGCAGCATCTGCAGCGGCCGGGATGTTGGAGTCGATTCCACCCAGCCCTTTACAACTCAAAGTGCATCCAAAGGCTTGATTCCCTCTTCTTGCGAAACCTTCAACTTTCCTTCAACAGCTCAAGCCGGGCAGTGCAGGACACTGCATTTGTTGGGACCATTGGCACACGGGGGGGCATCTGAAAAGTGGATCGGAAGCTTCTCCTCAAATCAGAACAACCCCCAAGGTGAAGCTGTCTTCTGCGTTGGCAGCTCTCAAAATCCTCGGCGAGCACACATCCTCGATGAGTGGGCACACTGCACAGCAAACTAACACAACATAATTGAAAAACAGAAACCCGTTCTTCCCGGATCTGTGACGGCAGTGCTTAGCCCGGATTCTGAGGAGCCTTTGCATGAGCCAGGGGCAGGGAGTGTGGGAAGTCGCAAAGCAAAGTCAATCGCAAATAACATAGCATGGACGTGTGACTGCTGTTCATGTTGCAGGGTTGATGCTGAAGCTGGTAACCTGGTAGTCCTTGCTATCTTATTTTCATCGTGGCGCACGATGAACAAGGGCGTGTGTGCATATGTACATATATATAGATACACATATACATATGTGTGTGTGTGAATTTATGGTCGCATGTGTGTGTGTATATATATATACACACACACGCACGCCCTGGACGTACGTACACGTACACATACACATACACATAAACATACACATGCACATGCACATGCGCCAACACATAACCTACACCTGCACCTACACCTAAACATACACATACATGCATGCATGCATACATACATAGATACATACATACATACACACGTACATACATACATACATACATACATACATACATACATACGCACACATACATGATACATACACACACATACATACACAAACATACATATACACACATACATACACACACACATGCATACACACA